GACGCAGGGGGTGCTCGTCGACGACGCAGGGGGTGCTCGTCGACGACGCAGTGATGCACTTCGACCTCAACAACACCGAGGTGACGTCAGACCAGACTGGAAATAACATCATCAGTCTGCGATTTTTTTTTTCCGTACGAAACATTTGCATGAAACTCCACTCGGACCGTCTCGGATTGATTCGACTCAAGTTTGATATACGAACAAGAGCAGGCACTTCGCAATGTCGTGACGCTCGAGTATTCTATTACCTTTACTGTACTGTTCTTTATTTACCTACGGCAGGCCTATAACATCTTACCGATTTATAGGATGTAGGCTACGTCTGTAACTAACTGTGAGCTTCTTGTATGTTTGTTATCAAATGTACTACAACAACAACGACAGCAGCTAGTACCCCCTTCTATAGTAGTACCAGTGGTGGTACATCTATCAAAGGCTAGAGCAAAAGAGGCTAAATAATGGGCCTAGTGGAACGGCCTAGTTCCAATCTGAGTTAGGTCCTACCTGCTAGGTTTCTAGGCCTGACACAACAGTCACGCTTCGCATGCCATTGACTTAAATTTTGAACAAAATTAAAACATGAAATTAAAATGGGACAGTGAGTAAAAAAATATTAAATATAATAAATTAAATGTATCACTCAGGCATTAATGAACTTGGCCTAAGCCTTGTAATGTAATTACTATTAATTAATAACAATATTATTAATAACAATAATATTAACAATAATAATAATTATAAATAACCATATATAATTTCGCCATTAATCAACTTAGCCTAAGCCTTGTAATCAAGAAACACCTACAGTATACTATAGGCCTATAATCCAAACTCCCTGTCTTAACTTTCAGTAATTCTAGGCGGAAGCAGGTCAACTCGACCCCATGTCAACCAACCCCAATTTTATATTGTTATTATTATTAGTTATTCTATATACCTTTTGTCATGCGCATGTGTGCAATGGAGTTCAATAACTCAGACTAACACAGATTGTAGTTTCCATGTGAAGTAACGCGGGCCGCGATTTTGTTTCCGTACGAAACATTTACATGAAACTCCACTCGGGCCATCTCGGCTGAATCGACCCGAAAATCTCATTGCAGAATTCAGGAGGTCAAAAGTTCAACAGATAAACGTCTACAGAACAACTTCTGATAGAATGTCGCTGCCTAACTTTGAAAAATACATTGATGTTACCATGTTCATACCAATGGGTCGTTTAAAATGACATATAATATTTGATTAAGCTCCACGAGTAATGAAAAGTGTTATTTTAACTTGAGTTACATACTATGACAATTTTAATTTTTTAGTAGTTTTTTTAGTTTTTTTTTTGATACGGTGCTCTGCTGCTATGGTTAAGGGTGTATGTTATCCGTTTTCCCTTAAGGAAAACAGTTGGGTGGGCGCGATAAGATAAATGGAAAATATTTTATTTACGATAGATTTCTATAGGAAATAATTTTAATTTTTTAGTTAGGCCTGGTTTTTGCATAATTACCTAGGCCTACAAGTAGGTCTACTAAAAACGCTTCTGGGGAAAAGCACAGAGAGTAAGGAAAGGCGCGTTTTTCTTCATCACTGACCAAATGAAACAGAGTGACAGTTATTTTCAAATTAAGAGAAGAGCTGAGAATAGGCAACTCTAAAATACTGGATGCCATAAGACCTGCCAAAATGGCAGCACCAAATGAATGTAAAAATGAGCTAGTTTTATAAATATTAGGCATAGTAATTGGCAGGTTCTTGATTACAAGGCGACCAAGTTAATTACATGTAATGCCGAATTGATAATAATAATAATAAATATTATTATTACCTATACGTTAAGGGGAACTTAGACAATGGAGGAATTAGAGAACA